GGGTATTTTGGTTAATTTATATTTTGAAAATTATTTTTTTCATATTTTTATTAGGTGCGTTCACTAAGATGTACACACGCTCCAAATTTCACATTATTCCAATGAGTAAAACAGAAATGAAAAATGAAACACTACCGGACAACTATGACCGTGCGATGAAGTTTGGATGGTGATGAGGGTAGGTGAAATCACTGTTTATTTACATCTATAGGCGTTTTGTGGTATATTCCACACACACACACACACACACACAGATATATATATATATGGTTAGAGGAACTAGCTCCAGGCTCTTTATAAACAGCCCATTGATTTACCCATTGACACTATAAGAAAGCCTTTTTTTGAGCAAATAAAGCACCCTAAACAATTTGAAGGTTGCAAAAAAGGCCCCCTTAACAATTCGAACATAATTCTGTGCTACGCAAGCAATGTGGTAGCAGCCCTCTAAGGAGCGATTTTCTGTCTAGCACAGGAAGGAGCGATTTTCTGTCTAGCACAGGAATCAAAGGTAAGATTGAAAGGAATTGAAGTACAAAACATGAAATAGGACCCCACAAGATTATGAGCTTTCTTTCCTTGTGATATAAGAGAAGGGGGTTGCGTTTCTTCCTCACAACTCTCTCGCAATTCATACAATTCCTTGAAGAGAAGATTGGGCTTGATCTAGCTAAAGTTGAATCTTGATCTTATAGGCCTTTGATCTTCTTTAAGAAGTCTCTATTTTCCTTAATCACTTGATCTCATTCCCGTTAGGTTGAGAATCTCATAGCCAAGGTTTGGAGTCATGCATTCTTCCTCTTAGGATAGAACTCGTTAAGTCTCTATTAGGCACTCTAAATCTCTCTTTCTTTTTCTACCCCTTTGGTCTCATCCTTGGCAACTCTTTTTCTCCTTCCTCTCCTATTCTCTTTTTTTCTCCAAATGACAAAGGAATGAGATATTTATAGCCGTTGGGGTGTAACTCTTGCCTTGTTTTAACTTTTGAGGCAAGTTAGATACACATTTTGAGCTAAAATTTAAGTCATGCCTTGAAACTTAGGGCTTCACTTTGATTGTCGGTTCAGCCTCTTGTTTGACTAAATTAGCATGGCTTTGGGTCTCGCCTTGATTTCTTTCATAGATTGGTGGGGATTGAGTTGGGAATCTCATGGCTTAAACATCATTAAAAAATTCCTCATTCATGGAGTTATGGATTGATCATAATCTATATGTCATTATCGCAATTTGGGCCTTCATTCGCTTTCAAATCTTAAAGCAAATATGGTTATATGAGCTTGTAGGTAACTGAGAGAGGATCATTGTCAACAAATTTCAGCTCAAAACAGCTTCGGGTATGGGAGAAATGGAAGAAAGAGGGCCCGGAGTTCATGCAGTTTACTGCCGACAGCAGCCCCTTTGTAATCCTTGATATTAAATTTTGATTCGATCCCCAATCTTAAAATGAACTCTTTCAACATTTATATTGGTTGTAGATTAGTCAAAAAGGACCATTTTCCCTGAACTTCCAACTCATAGCATCACAGGGTTTGAGAGAAATTTAAGAAAGAAGGCCTTGAGGTCATTGCAGTATATGTGCAGGCCATGTTCAGCGATAGTCGGTATGAGTAGTACATTGCATTGTCAGCTGGAGCAATAGCTTTGATCTTCATCTCTTCGAAAAGTGGGTCAAATGATGTTCAAGGCTTGGATTAAAATCCATTAAGCTTCATCTCAAGCTGAGACCATCCACTATGGGTGGCTTTGTTAATTAGACCCCTTTTTGAGGCACTCTCTGTATCAGTAGCACCCTCTGCTATTGCAGTGACCTTTGATCTTAAAATCTTGAGAATGGGGACGGATGGTGTCCAAATGATTTGAACCTTGGAGGGCAGGTTTGGAGAACGCTGGATTAAGCTTCCACCCAATTTTACACTGTTTCAAACTCTTTAGCCAAGTCTTTGATAGGCTTCTTTTTTTTCTGTGGATCCAATGACCCGGGGGCATTTGAAGGTCCAAATCCTTTTATTTTTTGTGAAGCGGTCCCTTTATGCATGTTTTGTTTACCTCCAAATTTTACCTCATGTCGAGATCGCTTGAGGTGTCTATGAGAGGTTTGCATGGTTTCCGCAACCAGATCTATATTGGGCGTCTGCTGCCTGTTTGTTCTGTAATCTGGCTCTATGGATGGCGGACCACCAATATTTTAATTTCTCCTCTGGGTCTCTGCCTTTTGAGGCTTGTTTGGCTGAGGGAGAGCCCGGATGTCCATCCCTGGGTTTTATGCCCTTTTACTGAGGAGGACATAGCCAACTTGTGTCCTGTTTGAGGCAGTATGGCAAATATGAACTGGTTGGATGCTGGCTTGGAATGTTTGTGAATTAGATTGATCTAACATACACACAAACAGTAACAACATACATTTGAATGTGTGATTATATAGATCATGAAAAACACCTAGGAAAACGGATATAAATCCTGGAAAAAATTATTTGTGTATTTCTACCAGCACACATTTGTTCTATTGCTGCTTGATAATGCAACTTTGGTGATTTCTTCTCATGATACATTGATTCATGGTTCAGAAACTTTTAAGAGCATATCCACCTATGGCACCTTATCAATCCCTAACTTCATCCCTTCTCACCATTTCTTAAGAAGAGACCATAGGACCATCCTTTGGATCATACAATGCCACCTTTTCAACTTTCAGAGGAGCTACTGATATAACCATCAATTGGTCATGCACAAAATCTCTGGTAAGATGACTGCCCTCGAAAACTTCTACTATTCTTTTCCTTCTAATCCCATATAATAGAACGGATGGAAAATATTCCAGAGACTGCCCCTCTTCCATTGAGCAAAAGATAGAACCAGCATAAATGAACTCCATCACGATGGTAGGAAAACTCGTGTGGTCTCCGTAAACACAGAGAAGGCTGCAATCCTAGGGCTGTAATACTTGCTCAGACCTGTGATAGGTTCGCAGGGGCTGTCACTTGGTGTGACGGTAAAAGGCTTGGGTAGCCAGCGAAAGAGCGCTGGTTTGAGTCCTGAGAGTGGCCACTTTGTGCATAAGCCAAAGGTTAGGACCGTTTCCAGCCCACCCCTCCCAGGACCCTGCTTAGGCGGGACCAGCACCGGGTTATGGCCCTTGTGGTAGTTCGCATCTCCTATATGTAATGTGAATTTTAGGAACCAAAAATTTGTTGCAGTATTTCCCATAAGGATCTTGGCTCCAAAGCAGGATACAGTCAAAATTTACTGTCCTTTAGGGAATCCAGAATACAAATCTTACTTATATCTGAATATCCACATTAGAGATGCTAAGTTGCTTGCTAAAGAATTTGTCAGAGAATGATTGGATTTATAGATAACACGAATCTTCAATTTTCAATAATCATTGGCTGTACATTTTCTTGATACTTTGCAAGTTGCAACTTTCCTATCTGCACCTTGGATATGAAAGTGAGTAACTAGACCAGAGACATATTTATGCACCCAATGACTAATAGTTACCGCTACGACCCATCACTGTACAAAACTATAGTGGTCAAATTGCTTGAATACCATGTGATAATCAAAAGCAGTTGTGCTTTCATCTCTAATAGCCCTCTAAAATTCGCCTTGCCTCAACAAGCTCTCCCTAAATAGAAAGCCTTTCTGAAGAGGATCTAATCTTTTGATCTTGTGGTAAACATGATAATTGAAGAATAAAGGAACATCTTCCACCTGCATATTATAACCTTTCCATACAAAGACCCATACTCTGCATGGGGAATTTCAAAATATTGACTTGGATCCAACAAGGGTGTGAGAGATTAAATCAATAAATTAGCCATAGATATGCTCGTTAAAATGTTCTCATTTTAACCCCTTTGGTAGTATACTCTACTGTAACATCAAGTGCTTATCTCGCCTATGAATCACAAAACTTAGTGTCTAAACAACACATTAATGTGAATGAATTTACTTGGTGCACTCAATTCCCTGGTTGGCACAAGGTGCAGCTCTTTTTCTGGGTCCATCGGTTGGAAATTCATTCACTAGCATTTAAGTGAATTATGTCCCTGTGATTAATTTTACAAACTTCTGACAAGTGTCTGTTTTTCATCATAGATGAATTGCTTGTTGAGTATTCTCTCTGGCGCATGATTGCTAAACCATCAGGATTAAAATGCTCATGGCCTCCCTTACTCCTTTAATGCAAGTTTGTTTGATTTTAACATTATTGGATTTCAGATAATGGAGGCTGTTGCATCACTTAATGCAAGAAGACGCTTTATTGAAGCTTTAGCTCTTCTATTTGGCAGGCCATTGGAAGCTGATCCAGTATGCTCTTGTGGCACTCTGTACTTATTTCCATGTTTATGTGATTTGTCTGGTTTTTCTGAGTGCTTCTCTGGTCAGATATTTTGCAGGAGAGTGACCATGCTTGCCTCATCTGGGGTATTTACATTTCTGGTACGAGAAAAGTTCATATACTTTCATGAGATCTCTTTCTTTTTTGTTTTATATAGCATATGTACCTCATTATTAACTCACTGTTCTGCATTTTATATGCAATAGTTGGTGAACATGGGATGGGGAATTTGTTGCAGTATTTTTTGATCCTTGTAATCGTACATTCTTTTGCTAGATTGATGCTTTAGATGATAATTTTTGGTGAACAGTTTTGCAAAAATTTTCTAAGATGTGTTCGTGTTGTTAAAATGAGTTTTTTCCCTTTTATTTCTTTTGTGCAAAGTCTACCAACATATCTATTGTGTTGTTGCTAAAGTAGTTTCTTTAATTTTATCTTTCTTCTGCAGAGTATATTGATATTTTTGTTTCGTTGTTGTTAACATATGATATGATTCATCTCCTTCTAAATTGGTGATTGTAGGTACACTTTTACCTTTCGACCCAATTCCCTAAGCAACAACCAGTGTTGATATTGCAAAGTTCTCAGGTAATGATCACATTTTTGTTCTTGTTTCATGTATTACTTTTTGAAGTTGATGTGATGTTTGTACATGTAGTTCTTATGTGAATTAGTCTAAGTTTAGGGCTACAAAATAATTGCTGGAGCTCTAAGAGCTTTTGCCAACTTTGATTGCATGGACAATGTAAACATAAAATTGTTTGTAGAAACAGAAATATCAAAAACAATAAAGACACTGTCTCTAGAAACAAAAGCAATTTTGTTAGGATTTTATCTGTGGGAAAATTGTTTTGGACCGCATTTCTACATATGCAGTCCAGAAAGTGTAAAGCATCCATCTTAAAGATGGATGCAAGTAAGTGTTCCATCTGAAAACAATGGAAACTAATGGTCCAAATGTTTTCTTATTAGAATTATTATTTCTAGTTTTTAAAATTTATTTATTTTTTCATATTCATGATCTCCATGTTAGAGATTACATGTCCAGAAAAAGTTAAGTCTTAAAATCCATCTCAAAAATAGATTTATTAAGAGGCCCGCACTTCTACATATATGGGCTTGGCCGCATAGAAACCGGGCCCTTATCTGTGATTATCTTAATTGCTTCAAAGTTTGAACCTTGATTTGTATCTTTACCTTGCACCATTGAAACTGGTTGCATAGAAGAAACATAGAATTGAGCGGCACATTTCCTGGACTGTTCATTTCAACTCTTCACGGATACGACGAATTTGCTTCATTTTTCGGGCTTGAAATTCTCCAGTTAGGTTTCGTCCGATGGCCATCCCCAACCTTCCCTCCCTCCCCTCTACGAGAATCACACACACCTATTCCAACCCTCCAAGCTGAAATAGGTTACCTTCCCCCAATCCCCTCCTCCCCATCCTTCCCCCCCGCAATACTTATCCCTCCTTGCTCTCTCCAAACTCCATTTCTGTGGGAGGCCAATAAACTGCCCTTCTTGAGCAATCCATGAAGCAATCCCTGGTTGGACATTTTTACCCACACAGAGGCGACCTCAGAGGCATAGAAAAATGGGATAAGGAACTCTGGGTCGAACCAGATGTCACCTTCTGGAAAATCTCTAGTGGCGACATCCTCTTCTCCTCCCCATCCGAGGTTAGTGCTCTTAGAGCGATGAAGTGGAAGAAAACCACAGTTCAAAGACTCCACCCTATCTCTTACCCATTGGAGCAAGGATATGGGGGCAACTCTATCCCAAAAGATCTGGCTCAGAGCTTCTCACATTCCACTCCATGCTTGGCATGTCAATACCTTAAAACGCATCGGAGAGGCTTGTGGCGCATTTGTCTCGGTGCATTGGAATTCTCCAGAGTTCCTCCCCATGGGCACCATTCAGCTACTGATTGAGACACCCAATCCCTTCCTCATTCCGCCTCTTTGGGTAGAAGTGGTTGGCTTTTTTTTTTGTATTGTTGTGTCCTTAGGGTTTAGGGTCATGGTCTCACCTCCATCCCACTGTCATGTCCAGGACTATGGCCCCACCCTCTTGAATACTCAGTCTCGGGAGCACTCTTGTCATTCCTTCATGTCTTACGGATGGGCTACGGTTACTCGCAACCAGCGCCCTAGGAAGTACCATTGCCGTTGAAGGGCCAAAGAAGGTCCGATCTTGCCCCCCCATCTACGGCACGGATTGCTCCACAACCTCCCTGCCCCTCCCTCCTTCGCCTTCCTCTCTTCCTCCCACCTTCCCTTAGGGCTGACATCAGCCCAACCCCTGACTTTCCCACCCCTTCCTCTTACCTAGCCCCCTCTCATTCTCCCCTCTCCCCGAGGAGCTCCACTTGATGGACTACACATCCGTGCACCATGTGTTTGTAACCAGTATTTCTCATCACGGGGCTCCTTCCAGCCCAACCCATCTCAAGGTTCCACCTGATTCCCTCCCACCACGTGCCACCATCCGAGGCTCCACCCGGCTTCCCCCACCGCATGGCACCGTCCACCTCTCTCCAGCACGTGATCCTTGCCACTTCTCCCATTTTAAATCCGCCTGCAACTGATAGGCGGCCTACCCCTCCCCTCTCAATGAGAACTAGACTGCCACCCCACTTATCTCGAAGAGGCATCCCCATTCTTCACTGCCTATCCCCTGCTTTCCTTCCGTCCCCACTCATCAGTGATCCCGTGCTTTTCCTCCAATGAGCCACCCATATGCGTGCCTTAGCCACCTTTGCCGCCATTGCCTCTTGGCGACAATTATACTCCCCCTCTCGATCAGCCATCCCAGTCCGACTGTTCTCCCCCCGAGTGGCCGCCCGCTCATCTCCGACCTTCTCCATCCTTGCCATGGTGCCTCCTCCCCAACCCACCTCCTTCTGGCATCCTTCAACCACTCATGTCCCCACACCCGCCGTACCTAGCCCTTCTCCTTCCGACGGTCCCGGCTCCTATCCTGTTCCCCCCCCAAATCCCTTTGAATTACCCTCATCGCAATCGTTCTCCCCCCTTGTCACAACCCACATCTCCCCACCCTTTCCCTCGCCGAGTCGATCCTCTCCCTCTTTCGCCCTTCATATTTCTAGCCCCCACACTTCCCTCCCTTCAGCTGATGGAACCTGCTGCACCACCATCCTTTGCCCCCACCCCGTCTTACTTCTCCTTCTCCTTGATGCCCCTGACGAGGAACCTCCCTTCTCCATTCAGAGGCCTAACCCTCCCCTCACTTCTCGCCCCAATCCCCGCTTGCTGCCCTCCCTGCCCCTTTTGCAAGCTCCCTCCCTCTCCATACCTCTTCCCTTTTCCGTTTTCTATCTCGACCCCCTGGATAGCAGCTTTTGTCACCCACTCTCCCCCTTCCCTATACCTCTCAACTGCTTTAGCTTCCAAGGTCCCTTTGCCATTCAGGGTCCATTATCGCTCTCCCCTTACTTTTTCTGCAACCCCAGTTCCCCCTTTCTTGCGGGACATGCACCTTTCCCTCTCCCTAGAGTCCCAGACCCTCACCCCCCCCCTTGGAATTCTCCCGGCCCCCCTGCTCGTATGCACAATGCCCCCTCTTCCCCTTCTTAACCCTGATTTCTGTCACCCCTCTCCTTTAGCTGCAATCCCCTCATCATCTCCTAGCCAAACCAATGAGTCTTTCTCCCGTCCCTCCCCAGCCCCCCTCCCCTTCATTTCAGGAACACTCCCCTCTTAACCCATCCAACCCATATTCGACCCCCTCGGGATGGCTCAGTTTCAAGGTCCTTTGAGAGTTTCACATTCACGGATTTTCAAGAACTTCCAACTACTTGCGTTTGTATCTCGGAATTCTAGTGCTTGCTGATAACTAGTCACAGCAATCAATGCAGCTGATTTGGCCCTTGAAAAATATGAATTTACTGTTAAATGCAAGGAAATTATGGAAGTCCAGTTCATTGTTATTACTTAAAAATGATAAAAACGATGTAATTTCCCTTGTTATTAATACAACCTTTAACAATTTCAAAAAGAAAAAGGATAAAAAGTTCATTTTTTTTAATTCTAGAAGCATCTGCAGCTTTCATAATTATAATGAATTTCTTAATTTAGATATGTTAATTCAATTTCAGAGCTCATAACCAACTTTATTGTTTATTTTTTGGCTTTTATTTCTCTAGGATCCTCTGATAAAAACGATGTAATTTCCCTTGTTATTAATACAACCGTTAACAATTTCCAAAAAAAAAGGATAAAAAATTCATTTTTTTCAATTCTAGAAGCATCTACAGCTTTCATAATTATAACGAATTTGTTAATTTAGATGTGTTAGTTCAATTTCAGAGCTCATAACCAACTTTATTGTTTATTTTTTGGCTTTTATTTCTCTAGGACCCTCTAGCTTATCCATGTTTGTTTTTTCTCTCTCTAGAGTGTTAACCTATCCTGTTTATTTGAAGAGGAATTTAGTTTTCAAGGCATACTCAGCGACGTCACTAGATCATGTCTTCCGTGACTGAACAGATGGAGAGTTGCATAGTTGTTTGGATCATTGTTGAATACTGATCTCTAATAATATTGAAAGTTTCATAGTTGTTTGGATCATTGTTGTAGATATTTAACATTTTAAGATCATATGTTCATAATACTCATTCAATTTATTTCACATGATTTTACAGCATTTTGATTCCATGGGTATACCAATTAAGTCCCCTCCTATTTCTGATTGTCCCTGGAGCCCAAGATGGGATGCATCACAAATGGTTGAACGGATATTGTATGTACATTTTTTTTTTTTAATTTGCGTTGAAATTAGAAGCCTTTATTTTATATGAATTTTTAATCTCATTTCAGCTGACCTTTCTGTTCAGGGTTTCTTCTCTCTCATTTTTTGTATACAATTTGGTGTTAACATGTAATTCTGAAACTGGGATTTGGCCTCTCACTTAATTCTTTTCATTGGATCTTCACTTACCGATCATAAAAAAAACAGAAAGAGTTTCTAGTATCCAAGCTATGCACATGTAGGCATATACATATACCAATGTGAAGCCAGTTCACATGCTGCCTCACATTCATCATTCCGTGATTTTGAAATACATAAGCACATACAATTTCTCACTGAAAATTGTCATTGATTTGTATACTTCTAACAAACAAATATCATGTATGTGTGTCGACACATGACGAACATAGATGCTTTTGTACAAACACATACATAGAAATGCACATGTATGTATGGTTGTTAAAACCAAAGTGACGCAAATATCAAAATGTTCTGAGACATGCAAGGTGGGCTTTAAATCGTGCATAAGGGCTACCTATGGCCATGGGCATATGCACACCCCACATCATGTGAATCTGCAATTTCAGTTGAAGGCGCACCACCACGAATTGATCTACAATTTCAGTTGAATGCACACCATCACGAATTGATGTTAAATGTTGAAGCTTGCATGTCAGATTTTCATACTTAGTGACTATGATGTGTCTAATGATTTATAAGTTTGTGTTTTGAACATTGCTGGCCTTTATCTGAAAATTGTGTATGCCTACATGATCTTTTATTGCAGATTCTAAACCCTTCAATGCTGTTTCACTATTTGCTGATTAATTTTGTATGGAATATTCTGCAGCGAGTTCATGGTGGAAGAGAGTGCAAACTTTAAGAAATACTGTAGCGAGAGCATTCTTTCACAGCACTAATGTTCTTTCGTTTGTGAAATGTGCACCATCTCTGGTAGTGACATAGTCGGGGCCTTGTCCTTTCTGTTGTGTTTCATCTTCCCCATGGGCTGGAAGGGTGGTCGGTGAACAGAACTTGTAAGTTATTCTTCACCGACTTCTTCTTTATCTTTTTGTTCCCCCACCCTTTTATCTTTGATAATATAAGCAGATTGGGATTGCCCTATTCTAGTGGCACCGAGAGTCTCAATCCTTCAGTTTTTATTGTGAATCCCAAGCATGGCATCACAAAAAAGGGGGAGAGAAAGGAGCTTCTCTATCCTTCAGTTTTTATTTTGAATCCCAAGCATGGCATCACAAAAAAGCGAAGAAAAAGGAGTTATTTGTATCCCTAAGTGCCGTGTCCTTTGATAGAATATCTTGGTGTGGGTGTAAACAAAGTGAAGAGCACCTAGTGATATAATGACTTTGGTCAAAATAATATATTCTTACATGGGGATATTCTCTCTTAGGTAAAAAGAGCCTATTTAGGAGTATTGTTAGACCCCGAGTTTTGGGGATGTAATCTCCTTAACCTTCCAACCAACTTCATCATCATCATCATCATAATCATCTGAGCTTTATCCCAACTATTTGGGCTCTACTACACTAATCTTGTTCTGCCATTCTTCTCTATTAAGAGCCACACCCTCAGTCAGACCATAAGTCACCATATCTCGTCTTATTATTTCTATCTATATCTTTTTGGGCCTTCCACTTGACCTTTTAGAGCCTTCATTGGAACCATGTTATCCCTCCTGACCGGTGCTGTATTAAGTCTTCACAACCAACTTCAAAAAGGAGAAAAAGGAAAATATGTATTCTATATATGTCTGAAAAAAGAATGTCCTAAGATTGAACGAAGATTGTCCTATTTAACGTGTTACCAACTCAGTCCCTTTTTTCTATTTTTTAAAATGTAATATGGTGAACCTAATTTGGATCCCAAAATTTTGCCAAGTTGGTATTTTGCCCAAGGCAATAAGTGTACAGTGTGCTCCTGCTGGAGCCTATATATGTGTTCATGACCTTGATGACCATGATATTTCTGTTGGGTCAAAACAAGATGCTAAACTACAAAGAAGCTGCTTTTTTTTATTATTCTATTATCATAAAAGCTTTTTTCTACTTTCCTTTTGTGTTTGATATTCTTTCCAGATTGTATCCAGGTTTGGTTCCTCTAATTTCTTCCAAAAAAAGGACGGAATAAAAATGGAAAAAGGCTGTCAATTTTATGTGGAATAGACAAATGGTAGTACTTAAATCAGAAAAAAGAGGATTAATGCTATTTATTCAGATTGAGTGGTTGGAAAGACCAGAAAGCCAATAGATTGGCATTTACTAGCCACAAAACAATGAGAGGGCATATTTTGCATCTTTGGCTTTTCCCAGTTTATACATGTCATTTGCTGTAAGCCTGCTGAAGAACGAGATGAGACTCAAATTCCTTTAATCTGATTATGATTTATGCAGTTAATGCTGTTAACTGTGCAGGTAAACGGGCACCTCGATTGATGATTAGTTTGCTGATAGTTGCAGCACAATGTCAGTCAACTTACCCGATAAGAAAGAAGGCAATTTAAAAGCTAACCTTTTTTTTTTCTAAGTATATTCACATAAATACGCACATGTTTTGGTCATTGTCATTGGAAGGTGGTTGAGTGATTATTTTTCTGCCCATGGCAACAACAAAGACTTTTCTAGGACATCAATGAATGTTTGTGGACAAACCAGGTTGAATATGTTATTCTCAAACCGTAATTCACATAAATATGGACATGTTTCGGTCATCGTCATTGGAAGGTGGTTGAGTGATTATTTTTTCGCCCGTGGCAACAACAAAGACTTTCCTAGGACATCGATGAATGTTTGTGGACAAACCAGGTTTAATATGTTATTCTCAAACCGTAATTCACATAAATATGGACATGTTTTGGTCATTGTCATTGGAAGGTGGTTGAGTGATTATTTTTCTGCCAATGGCAACAACAAAGACTTTCCTAGGACATCGATGAATGTTTGTGGACAAACCAGGTTTAATATGTTATTCTCAAACTGTAATTCACATAAATATGGACATGTTTTGGTCATTGTCATTGGAAGGTGGTTGAGTGATTATTTTTCCGCCCATGGCCACATCCCAGGACATCGATGACTGTTTGTGGACAAACCAGGTTTAATATGTTATTCTTAAACCGTAATTCACATAAATATGGACATGTTTTGGTCATCGTCATTGGAAGGTGGTTGAGCAATTATTTTCTGCCCCTGGCAGCAAAGACTTTAATAGAGGTTTAATATGTTATTCTTAAACTTATCCATCATGACCTACCCAAGAAAAAACCTAACCATCAAATTGCTTAACCAGCCAAGTTAGCTCAGAACCGGTTAGGGTTCAAGACCCCCCCATTTTGCCTGGGTTCCCATAGTTTTTGGCAAGTGTTTTTATTCTCTTTGAAGTTTGTAGAAAAAAACCTTGAAAAATGACCCTGGTGATTCTGAACCGGCTCAGAACTGGTGGGTGAGTGATTTAACGCACTGGTTCGTTTTTAAGGCACTGTAATATAAAGAACGGTTTGCTAACATTTGGATTCAGACATTCGCTAGCACCTCACTGTTTCTCGTCAAACAAGAATGGTGAGGGCTTTTGAGTTTTTTGAAGACCGCCAGCCACGATTGTTGACCTCTGATGGGTAGGGAGGTGCTCAAAAGCTTTTCGAAATCCTGATGGAAGCATGGATAACATTCCGATGAAGAAAAACGTTATTCTCAAAATTTCTACCGGTGTTTTTTCTGCATGTCTTGGACGATATCTCCACCAAATTGGGTTCATGAACCAGCTAACGAAATTAAGTTTTCCATGGCAAAATTTTTACTCATTTATGTCCAATGTAACTGAAATTGCGCAAACTAAGCTTTCCATGAAGTATACTCCATGAAGAAAAGTTCTTACACTAGTATTTCGTCTGCATGTCGCTGTTTGGCGACATCTCCAAATTGAGCTCAAGAACCACCTAACAAAATTAAGTTTTCCATAACAATTTTCTGTTCACTTATGTCTGATGCAACAGAAATTACACGAGATAAGCTTTCCATGAAGTACATTCCCATGAAGAAAATTTCCTATGAAAGTCTCTACCAGTGTTTTTCTCTGCATGTCGCTGTTGGGCGACATCTCCAAATTGAGCTCATGTACAACCTAGCAAAATTAAGTTTTCAATAACAAAATTTTCTTCTCATTTATGTCTGATGTAACTGAAATTACACAAGATAAGCTTGCGATGAAGAAAATTCCCATGAAAAGTTCTAAGTCTCTACCAGTGTTCTCTATGCAGGTCGCTGTTGGAGAACATCTCCAAATTGAGCTCATCAACTACCTAACAAAATTAAGTTTTCCATAACAAAATTTTCGGCTCATTTATGTCTGATGTAACTGTTATTGCAAAAAATAAGCTTTGAAGAAGAACCCGATTCATTAACATGAGGGAAAAGGTGCTAGGTATAATAATCAAGGAAAAGTAATTGTTGAGTGGGGTACCCCGCAAAAGTGGGGCACCCCTTCCTTTCTCCATGTCAGGGATGATTGACGACCAAGATCAAGATCTTGAAAGGAAAGAAAGTAATTTGGAACAGTAAAATTGCTCTATCTTGAAGGTTATTTTAACATGCAAACTTTATCATTCATTTGTGAAATGGATATGCAATGGTTTGGAACTTTGGTCCTTAGTCATAAAAAAGGAGGTAGGGGGGCATCAAGATGTTTACGTGAGGCAGGGTTGTCTTGCTAATACCGACCCAATAACTGGACGATCAACCTAACATGGTTCTTAAGGATCAGTGACTCCTCGAGGCGTGGGTGCTTCTCTTAAGTGCGCATCTATTCATTTTAAGAAAATAAAGGACAATGTGTTGAAGGGAAACCTTTACATGGGTGCCACTCACATGATAACAATTATCTATCGTCAATTTTGAATGGATAGTTGGAATGGTTTCAATAAAAAAAATATTAGCCTTAGAACGTTTGATCTTTGATTAGGTGGCTCAGAGTACTTAATTTTTATTGTTTTTGGGCAAATAATTTTAAGAGTAGAATTTTGGGGCGTTCCCTCCACCCACGAGGGATAAAATAAAAAACCATTATTTTTTCATTAGAAAGAATGACCAAATTCCATTGTAACTTTCACTAGTATTATGGTCATTTTGATTTATAAACTATATAGATAGTTTTAGTTTTGTTAGGTGCACCCTTAAAAGGAGTGAGCATGCCCCAAATTTTATTTGGAGATAATTAATAGAAAAAAAAGTAAAAAATAACCTATTTTAGGTGGCACATTATGACGCATGCTATATTAGCCGCCTATTTAAATCGAATAACTGGAATAACAGTCCTCTATGTTTTATACTGGGTGGCGCCACATGTAAAAGTTTTCTTTTGATAAATGCACAACTAAAATTATAACTTATTAAGGATTTATGAGTCAAATATTTTCAAATTAAGGCTAATGCACAACTAAAATTATAACTCATTAAGGATTTATGAGTCAAATATTTTCAAATTAAGGCTATAACTTATTAAGGATTTCTGAGTCAAATATTTTCAGATTAAGCCAATCTTCCGCTTAGTATCTCCTCCATATGATTTGTCATTTTCTTTGATCACTTTACCCAAATATTTTCTCAAAAATCTGAGTACGTTCACTGCTTCACATACGCAAGAGGTTTTAGTTCCCATGCTATGGTTTCCTTGGTTTTCATGGGCGCATCTAAGTCTTGTTGATACTAAACAATGCCAAAACTTTCCTAGACCACAAAAATTTCAGTAGAACCTAAATATGGAAGAAACACATAAAATAATCCCTCAGCGGAAAAAGAAATCGAAAAAAATTCAAAAAAAAAAATCTGATGAAAGAGAAAATTTAGAAAATAAAAACCTCATAAAAAAGAAAAAATGGTATTAGGTCTAAGCTCTAATAAATTTTTTTTGTCTCTAAAATTTATCATCACTATTTGAATAAATTTTTTAGAAAAAATCAATATTAAAATTTTAAAGAATGAGAAGTAGCTGTTAAAAAATTGGATTGATTGAAATCACCCACTTTAAAGCTTTTTCATGGGGAAGAAAAAACAGGTGTGCAAGTTTGGGGGAGCTCAATGCCCTTGAAGCCCAGAAAATGAGGAGAAACCAATGTTAGCCGTCCCACTCCAACCAATAAGTAATGGACACGGTATTTATGAGTCCATATAGAAATGAGTCACCTCTTAAAAATTTATTTCTAAAATGGATTTTTGGATTTTATTTGTAAATACATGTAATCCCTAACATGGAGTTCATGAATATAATAAATAAATAAATTTTAAAAATTAAAATAATTAATTCTATAAAAAAATATGTGAACTGTTAGTTTCAATTGTTAGTCATGGACACGGTATTTATGAGTCCATATAGAAATGAGTCACCTCTTAAAAATTTATTTCTAAAATGGATTTTTGGACTTTATTTTTAAATACATGTAATCCCTAACATGGAGTTCATGAATATAATAAATAAATAAATTTTAAAAATTAAAATAATTAATTCTATAAAAAAATATGTGAACCGTTAGTTTCAATTGTTTTTAGATGAATCGCCAATTTGCATCCATTTTTAAGATGGATGTTGTATATCTTGGGACCGAATATTGTAGAAATACGGTCCAGCCTGCATGAAACAATTTTTCATTAGTTATTCTAGGTGTCTAGATCGTACACAAGATAAAAAATTGGATACGGTTGCTATACATCCATGTAGAAATAAGTCACCTATTAAAAATCTATTTTTGAGATGAATTTTTGGACATGTAATCTCCAACATGGAGATCATAAATATGAAAAATAAATAAATTTTAAAAATTAAAAAGAGTAATTCTATTAAAAAAACATTTGGACCATTAGTTTCAATTGTTTTTAGATGGGCCACCTATTTGCATCCATGGATGCTTTATACCTAGGGGACCGCAAATGTAGAACGCACTCCCGGCCGCATGAAACAATTTTCCTAAACAAATTGTATAGCTGCAATGGATTCTACTCGAGCAGTGCAATTGGAATTGAACGTATAGGCAAGTTTCACTTTGAATGTTGACTTAAAAATATTATATTTGAAGTCTGTGTGACCCGTGGCCTGGACAGGTCAAATGGACTTGTGTCTTAAGTTTACTTCCAGCATTTTGGACCTGATAGGCTCGTTGAGGTCCACAAGTTTGGACCTAATTGTCAGGTCTGTGTCCTGCCCTGCCCTGTCCTACATCATGCTGTCTCTCTTAGGGGGCCGCAACTTGATCCATTTACACCCAGATTTAAAACCCAACCATTCGAATAGAGAATCGCCAATTGGTTCAGACCGGTCCAATTTTGGAGTTCTTTGGAAGTATTGGAATTGGCCTGATCCATCCCTTCGTTCATTATTTGATTGTTGTTTTTTATTTTAGATTTTTTAAAATGTTAGGATCGATATAAAAGTGCTACTAACATAAAATTCAGCAACGACATTGTTCTTTGAGTTCTATCTAGTTAGAATCACTTAAAAAATTTCAACAAAGACATGCATAATAATAAGAACAAATCTAGCATGCAAATATTTGGGCTCCTCAAACTACAACAGTATATCTAAATATATACTTCCTTCTTCTTGCTTATTTTCCCTCAAACTTATACTGATGACATGCAATGTAAAACAAGAAAGAAACGAACTTCCTCACAATTAAATTAGCCACCAAAGAAATATGAAAATGAATACACAGCTACGAGAAAAGTTTGCTCGAAATCAGCCAAGTTTCCTGCGTAAAAAGC